AAACATTTCTTCTTCTCAGGTGCTGTCAGTTAAATAATAGGTTGAAAAGAGACAATTTTTTAGACTTCACCATTGACCCTGGGTGTGTTCCCAACCCCTCAACCCTTTACCACCAAATACAATTCCATTTTTTTCAGTAGCAGAAAAAAAGGTTTTACTTCAAAGTCATTCCCTTTAAATATGATTAACATTCAACAGGTACACTTATAAAAAATAAAATTGTGTTAATTAGATGTATCAGTTGTAATTGTTTTTGATTAAAATAAATAAATATTTAGGAACTTGATGGATTAGAGGAATACTAAAGTAGACTTCACATTTTTCTGAGGTGACTTTTTCTCAATATTAACACTGAGATCAATCTTAAAACCTACTTTCTCTGGTATATTAAATATGGCTTTATTTCACCTTCTCCCAATACTCCACCTCAGGAAATGAACTGAGAAGACCAGTAATAGAATCCCAATTCTCAGAGAATTTGTTTCCTAATACTTAGCCTCAGTTACTTCATCTGCAAGATGGGAGTAATCATGAGAAGCTCACATGACTGTTGTGAGATTTTCATGAAACAAAATTTATAAAAGAACTAGCAGAATGCCTAGAACACAACAGGCTTTAGCTTCTGTTTCCTCCTTCCCCCCTCTGTTGAATAATCTCCGATTTAACCCTCAATTTGTAATTACTGATCTCCTTGGCCTGGTATTACAATATACAGCCCTGCATATCAATGTGTTAAAATACAGTCATTCTGTAAGATTCTCCAGAGAAGCATGTCCAATGTTGACGTTATTCCCAAGATTTTTAGAGTGAAAAAAGTACCATCTTATTTTTCTTTCTCTTGTCTCAGCACATCTGGTACATAGCAGACACTCAAGAAGTATTAACTGATTGCAGGCTGAATGAATTAATGGGTGAATAAATGTGGGACAAATAACAGAGATGCTTACCCACAATTGAAAGCTCTTAAAAAACCAGGCACTTGGCCAGCCGTGGTGGCTCATGCCCGTAATTCTAGCACTCTGGGAGGCCAAGGTGGAAGGATCGCTTGGAGGGCAGGAGTTGGAGACCAGCCTGAGCAAGAGCGAGATCCCGTCTCTACTAAAAATAGAAAAAAATTAGCTGGGTGATTAAAAATAGAAAAAAAAATTAGCCGGGTATGGTGGCACATGCCTGTAGTCCTAGCTACTCGGGAGGCTGAGGAAGAAGGATTACTTGAGCCCAGGAGTTTGAGGTTGCTGTGAGCTAGGCTGACACCACGGCACTCACTCTAGCCCGGGCAACACAGTGAGACTCTGTCTCAAAAAAAAAAAAAAAAAAAAAAACCCAGGCACTCCTATCAGCATCAGGCATTGTAGAGCTACTCAGAGAACACTATGGTGTAGTTAAAAGCCTCACAGGGTAGAATTTGGTCTCTATTTTGCAAGTAAGATAATATTGAGGAGAGAGGGTCACAGGAGAGGAAAGTGATTCATTCTGAGGTGTTCCAGTCTTGAGACTAGATCTATGCAACAGCACCTCTCTTGTAGACATATCTTCATTCTTAGAAGGACTTTTCAGTGTTCTCAGTGGAAAACATGGAAGAGGGAAGGGTACATTCCGGCATATAACAGAGAAATGTTCTGTTCCCCTGAGGTCCTTTTACTGAAACAGCAGTGTCTTCTGTCTTAAAGCACATCCTGTATCTTGTTAATGACTTTATACTATATTCAGAAGTTTGGATGTGGGAAAACTGAAAATGCTAGTGCTGAAACTCAGGAGCAAGATCTGTTCTCAATTCTGGTAGCTTATGTTCTAAAGGAAATTGGTGAGTTACCCAAAGCTGTTTCTCTATTTATGTTTAGTTGAGCAGAGTGGTGACTATTAATGTGTTATAAAAGACTCCTTCTTCAAAGAAACCTAATTCTTATTTTGCTAAATAGTATTACCTACAATTCTCCTTTTTATTACAACATTTATATATAATGAGTATCTGGTGCAAAATCTAACAACGTTTATATTTAACATTGATCGTAACAACAAGCTAATATAGAGGTGAGCGCGAGGAAACAGCAAGACTGGCCAAAGTGCCAGGATCACTCCTAGCCATGCTGTTAGCATATTTCACAGTGTCCAGTGGGTATTTTAAGTATGATCATGTCGTCTTGAAGTCATTACCGTGGTCCTGAAACCATGAACACAACCAAGGCAAAAGTTTCACAAAGAAAAGCTCTTCTTCCCAAGTGCAATGAACCTTCAGTCATGAGCTGTCATAGGTCAAAAATACCAGCTGGGCTGTATCGCAGTTTCACTCTGATTGAGGGTTCTTTCTCGAAGCCTCAGTTCTAGGCATTCCACGGTAAGGGGATACGTATTAAGCTCAAACTTGTTAGCAAACAGGCTTGGTGAATTTACCAGCCACCGTAAGTCTCCATTTCCATATATACAAATACCATGTACATAGTGGCCTGCAGAGGAGAGAAAAAGAAACACAGTCAAAACATACTCGCTTTCGAAAGTCAAGGGTGGTGACCTTGCAGAATGGCAGAGTTACTCCCTAATTACCACATAGCAAAGACTGAACCCCCAAGTGTTAGAGGAATCAAAAGAAATATGATTGTGTAGTCCCAGCCCACAAAGAACTGAAACTCTATCCAAGAGGACAAGAGGTACAAATATATACTTGAAAAAAAATGAGTTAAATAATACAATACTATGACAGATGTCACAAGGCAGTTCATCTACAGTTGTCTCCCCTTATCAAGGTTTTGCTTCCTGAGGTTTTGGTTACCTGTGGTGAACTGCAGTCCCAAAGCACTAAGACACTTGCGGGGACGGGGAGCCACATTCACGTGACTTTTATTACAGTATATTATTACAATTGCTCCATTTTATTATTAGTTACTGTTAATGTCTTACTGTGCCTAATTCATAAATTAAACTTTATCATAGGTATATATTGGAAGAAACAGTATATTTAGGGTTTAGTACTCTCTTTGGTCTCAGGCTTCAACTGGGGGTCTTGTAACATATCCCCTGTGGGTAAAGGGAACTGCTTCATTATCAAATGAGAGTCACGGATGAGGAGTTCTGCACGGGTACAGATGGCTGAGGTCTTTCTGGGTTACATTGGTTAAGCCTCCTCCCTAAGCTCTGGCCTGGTCTATCCAAGTGCCTACTCTGTACCTCTGCTGAGGTGTGTAATAAACCTCACTGATAGAACATGTCAGCACTGAACATGTCCTAATCCTCTCCCTACAATCCTCCTGTCAAAGTGTTCCCCATCACGGTCCATGGCAATTCTATTCTTTAGTGCCCCAGGCACTTCTCCCCCTTTCTCTCACACCCCCCATCCAATCTATCAGCAATTCTGTCTGTTTAGCCTTCAAATATTAATAGGATTTGACCACTTCTCATCCACCCTGAACGCTACCGCCTTGGTCCAAGCCACCTCCATCTTCCTGCCTGAACTGCATTAATAACTGGTCTCCCCTCCCTACACTGTCGCCCTGGTAGTATATATCCCCATTGCAACAGCCAGAGAGGTTGTTTTAAAATGTAAGCAGAACACCTTAACCGTGGCACTGAAGACTCCTCAGAGGCTGGCCCCTCTTGCCTTCTGGACTCACCTCCCACCACTCTAACCCTTGGCCACACTGGCCTCCTTGCTAACTCCAAGCACATCAGGCATGCTCTCCCTGAGGACTTCCGTTTGCTCTTCCTCCCCGGGACATCCCCAGACATCCCAAGCCTGCACAACTCAGATCTCTGCGTCAAGGCCACCTTCTCGATGAGGCTTTCCCTGCCCACCTTTCCCACTTTCCTGATTCATTTTTGTTTTGACACTTATTACCAACTGGTATATATCAGTGCTAAGAGGGAAAATAATATTTTGTTTCTTGTTTTTTCAGACAATTGTTTATTGTCTTATTGCCCAGACTAGACTATAACCTCCAGAATAGCTGAGATTTCAGACCATTGTGTTCACTTCTGCATCCACTGCCTCTGGAGCAATCCCTGGTAAATATTAGGTGTTCGATTAATAGTTTTTGAAGAAAAGGATGGAGAAGGATGAGTGGTTAGTGGATGGGTAGAATCAGGAAGTACTGATAGAACTATGGCACACAGTAGAACCACCACCAGTTGATTGATTTAGACTAAAGAGTTGGGCTTTTTATTTCGTAAGTATGGGGTCCTTGATGATTTTTCAATAGAAGAATCAAATGTGAAATTGATTTTAGCAAGATTAATTTTGCAACGTGTTGTAGGGTACACTAGAAACCAAGAGACTGCGGTAATAACTGAACATAAGCTAGAGAGCTTGTTCAAAGTTCGTGGGCATCAGGAGTGGGAAAGGAAGGATATTAGAGACCCAAGTACACAGAAGGACAGACAGGACCTGGCGATTAATTCCACAGGCTGGGAAGAAGCACAATAGAGGGTGGAAATCACTGGGGAAACAAGCCAGAGTTATAAGAAATTAAAGAATGACCAGGTGGTGAGAACTGAAAACACAGGCATCATCTATGTGCCTAGGAAAGTGGAAGTGAACAAGGACAGAATGTTTCTGCCTGGAGCAAGCAGAGGGTTCGGAAACAACTCGATGGTCTTCAGGATAGAGGCAACAAGTACATACTTGCAGAGAGAGCGAAAAGAGGAAGCAGAGAGAGCGAAAAGAGGAAGCAGAGAGGGAGGGGCTGAGGATGAGAAAGCGAGGGCATATTTAGGGAAGCCCACGTGTAGCTGAGGCCACAGGCGGTGGCTTTGGTTGGGAGGAAGGGTGACTTTTCCTCTTGAAACAGGAGACAATGATGAAAGAATATGTCCACACTACTCTAAGATGACATGAAAAGGGACTAGATAATGGAATTTTGATCAAATGTCTTGAGAGTTCTTTCTAAAGTTGAAATGATTTACCTTTTGGGAGTGGAAAGGCTGTTTTAGCATAAGCTTGAGAGCTTAAAGGTGAGCAGGAAAGCTGAAAAGGTGTATCCTAGGAAGGGCACCAGGAAAACAGTGAGGTAAATTAAGGATAAAGAGGCAGCAGGATGAAGCTGATGGTAGATGGCAGGACTGGGTGGTGGATGAGTCTTAAGAGAGTTCTGTAACTTTCTCCAGCAACCTTCTGCCTAGGGGAGCACAAATACCAAAAAGTAGATAGTGGTGATGACTAAGCTCAGGAAATCAGCCTTGTAGGTCAGAGTGGTGAGAGAACCCGAAATGAGCTGATGAGGACAGCATGGAAAGGCCGATCACTGCACACAGGCCAGACAGGGAGTCCTTGGGAGGAAACTAGTAGAAGGAAGAAGCTGGAAATGTTGAACCTCTGGAAATTCCAGTTCAAACAATCAAATGTTAAACAACAACAACAACACGTTTTAGGTGTGGGGATATGATAATGAATAAACTGGACAAAAATCCTAGCCCTCTTAGAGCTTCTGTTCTGTTCTGGGGAGGAAGCCAGTAAAATAAATAGGATGTAAATTGGTGAAGAACACTAGCAGAAGTGACAAAGAGATTGTAATCAGAGATGTGTGCTCCAAGTGTAAAACCACTCTAAGTGCTAAGCGGGCTGATAAAAGGGGTATGGACATGGCTTTGGAACAAGTCCTAATTACCCACAGACAAGGGGAAAAGGACAAGACCATATTGCTGACTCACTGCCTTGGCACGCAATGTTCTGCCTCCTTGCTTATGCCTTTTTCTTTACCCTATATAGTGGTTTGGGACACTAGACGGTTTTTATGCTCTGGACCATATAATGCTTTCAGATGTTCATTGGCATAATAGGTACTATAAGAAGAAAAATGAGATATTTGTCTGCAAGGGCTTGGGCTACCCAAACTTTATACCCTCGGGTAGCTTCCAGGCTAGGGCGAGTTTTCTCAGCCACTGTCTATCATGTGATCGATAAGGTTCCTACAAAAAATGCAAACCCAACTAGCATATACCTTCTCTGCTGGGATAGGGCCTGGATATAGGTAATGACAGGGAGACTGAAGGGCAGTCTCTCCTTGTGAGATGGGAGCTTCTGTAGGGGGACAGCTAGTGCTGCAAGGTAATGACGCCTCATGGGTCACCGGTGTGGATGTTGAAGTCCTCAAGCGTTACTGCTGGAGAGGTGGTGGTGCGGCAGATTAGAGGGTGACTGCGGTGGTCCTGGGGGTGGGAGAGTGGCTGATGGAAGGATGCAGAGAAGATGACATATCCCAGATACTGGGAACCTGACTATGTGGTGGTCAGTTTTCTAGAGACTCAGGAGCTTGAAGAGTAAAGTGACCTCCTCTCCATCTTCCTCCTTCCACTGGGAGGACAGGCTATGGTGAGAATGTAGGCAGGTGGCACGCACTGTCCTCTGGGGAAAATATGAGCCGATTAAGGTAAAGCTATGAATATGCTTAAGGGTAGGCTGAAATTTCTGTACAGTGACTTGAGTACATCTCCATCCACAGCAGAAGGCAACAGACCATCAAGATTGATGTGAGAAAGAGGTTGGAGGTGACAGACAGTTGTAGAGATGCAGCAACATGGAGGTTTTCTCCTGAAATGTTAGGCGTAGGTAAGGTGGACTGATGAGTGAAGCCGTAGATTAAGTGGGAGAGTGAAGGCAAAGACTTGTGACCATAGAGAGAAAAGGCCAAACCTCCATATTCTCATTCATTCACTCACTTGCTCACTGAATAAATATTTATTGCATGTTATAAGTTGAATCGTGTGCCCCTCTAAATTTATATATTGAATCCTAACACATAGCAGTACCTCAGAGTGAAGACAGAGTCTTTAAAGAGGTAATTAATTTAAAATGGGGTCCCATGAGCAGGCCCTCATCCACTATCACTGGATCCTTATAAGAGGAGATTAGGACAGAGACACACACGGAGGGAAGACCCTGTGAGGACACAGGGAGAAGACGGCCGTCCACAAGCCAAAGACAGAGGCCTCGGGAGAAACCAACGCTGCTGACACCTCGACCTTGGATTTCTAGCCTTCAGAACTTTGAGAAAATAAACTTCTATTGTTTTAGCCACCCAGTCTGTGCTCCTTTGTATGGCAGCCCTAGCAAACTAATACATGTGCCCACCATGTGCCAGGCAATATTCTGAACGGAATGGGTGCCAGTACTGATAAAAATCCTTCTTTGTAAGGTTCTACAGAAATGAAAACAGCTTAGGGTTTCTAGTCCTTGTCCATTTGGAGGAAAACCCTTCTCATTAGTGTCACCTGACATCATGCCAGAGCTGCCGCAAACACCAACAGCTCTCCAAGCCACCGCAGCCTGGCTGGGGAGGGAGCAGAGGCTGACCTGAGGGATGGGGTCCAGCTTGCTCTGTGATGAGGACATGACGTTACTTCTGTTACTGATCGTTTTCCCTCAACAGCGAGAAGAATGAACAATAAGAAAGTGGAAACTACTAAGGAGAAAGTGCCATTATAATTGGAACCCACCTCTCTATCTCCCTAGGTAATTATACGCTGGAGAACATTGGTGAGATGTTTAAATGTATTTTTGAAGCCTCTGGCTTCTCTAGTAACTAGCAGATTGGTCTAAATAGAGTGGCAGTTCTCTCTCCATGAGAACCCCTGGATTCCATAGCTACCTTCACGCCAACACCAACAAGCAGTGGCTTAACAGCACGAAACAAGAGACTCACCGTGGCAGCCTCCGTGTTTGTCTTCCATGTCAATCCACTTTATAGCTCTGAGGTTACCGGTCCAGGATGCGTTTGGCATAGAGCCAGGGACACCTGCAATGTTGATAAAGAAGGCAGAGATGAGAACCACGAGAGAACAGTATCGATTTCACCAATTAAGCCTCCAAGTCCTGCTTCTTTTCTTTCAGCGCATTGCCTCTCACATTTTACATGGATCGGTGCACCCTGATCCACCGTCTTCTGTTTCCTCCAGCTGATCTTCTGATCAGAATTTTAGTTGCTGGTTCATTATCTAATTAGTATAATATCTAATTCAATCAGTATACAAATAAGTATACTAATACCATTCTAATCCACATACTAATATTTTATCACTAATTAGATGTTAGTATAATACTTAATTCTTTGAAATGTAAAGAGTTAGCCTCAAAAATAAAAAAAAAAAAGGTTTGGGGATGAGGTGCGTTAGATTGGCATCTCACTAAGCCAGGATGCCTGCACCTCATCACTATAGACACTTTGGGCTGGATAATTCCTACTGTGAGGGCTGTCCTGTGTTTAGTAGGACGTTTACCAGCATCCCTGGCCTCTGTCTAGGAGATGCCAATAGCGCCCTTCCCCCAACTGTGACAACCAAACGTCCTGTGGGTGAACGAAATCGCCACATTTGAGAAACACTGTGCTAAGCTATCCAAGTAACCCTCTCCATCTCAACATGTTTGGGTAGGTAGGTCACAGAAATTGAAGGGCCCATTTAATCATGTAGGTTTGTTATCCTCTTGAGATTGTAACATAAAAATCATTACCGGAAAAGGAGTATATGAGAATCAATGTAAACGCAACTGAAAAAGAAACACTTTGCTTCCTAAGGGCTGCAGCATTTTCCACCAGTGAGAAATGCAACCTGTTTTGGCGTAATGACACTACACAAATGCTTTCAGCACCCAAATTGCAACAGTCCTCTCTTAGAAGATTGCTTTTAAATATTGGTAAGACATACTGTGGTAGGCAGAATAATGCCCCCTGCTCCCTGGTCCCCCAAACACACACACACAAAGATGTCCACATCTAATCCCTGGAACTTGAGAGCATGTTATGTTACATGGCAAAGGGGAATGAAGGTTGCTGATAGTCGACTTTAAAATAGGGAGATTATCCTGTATCATCTGGGTGGGTCCGGTGTAGTCACGAGGGGTCCCTAACAGCGGCAGGGGGAGGCAGAAGAGGTGGTCAGAGTGATGTGAGAAGGTGCCACTCTGCCAGGAACGTGGGTGGCCTCGAG